CATATGCTTAGATAGAAAATATAGGAGACGATTTCTACCATATGATGCTAAGGTATAAGAGATGGACCTTTGAAGCATGATACCAATCGAAGTGCACCAATATACCATCCTTAGCACCATTAGTAACTAGACATACACAAAAACTAGAATACCCTATGAGATCAACATTAGAAGCAAGGGTCTAGTTTTCATAATGTGAGCATGAGTCTAGTTACTTAGCCTATGCATGCTAGTTTTCATTTTATCATTCAAACCTATAACTAGCATACACCACAAAAAGCATGGATATTGAAATTTAAGACTTGTGCTATGCAAGCAAATACATGAAATGCACATTAAAATGCAACATACAAGTTTATGAGCTTGTCCCCCTACTTGTGTGCATTTTTTATTGATCTCCTTGCAATGTCATTTCATTTGTTTGCTCCTCCTATCTTACTATCTTTGTGAATTTCTCTCCCCCTTTGTCAACAATTAGCACAAAAGGTGAGCTCAAATTATAGATAGATTGGGGTGAAACCATGTAAAATGAGGATCATTTTTCCAATTTGGTTCAATCTAGATCACTTTGGAAAAGATATTTAACTCGGTTTGATCCAAGGACAAGCTTCTTCACACCTCCAAATAAGGGTTATCTTGTACCATGTTGAGTTAAACACTTAGCTTATTTTCTAGATCAAACACTAGGTTTATAAGCCCACAAATATGTCATATGCTACCACTAGATCATTTCAAACATACAAGCAATAGTGGTACCATACAAGCATCAAATTCATTTGATTTTCATGAGTGAGCTTAGGACATGATAGGAATGACTAGATGCACTAAACAAGTCCTTAGCAATGGATGGATGACATGTCAATCAACTTTACCTTGCTTTGCTCGAAAGAGAGGCATGTCATATAATGGGGGGTGCATCAACACATATTGGAGAAGTCAAGTATGTTCAATTCATTCCTTAGCTTGCAAAACCTCTTCTCATCAAGTGGCTTGGTGAAGATGTCGGCAAGTTGATCTTCGGTGCCCACACTCTCAATGCAAATGTCCCATTTTTGTTAGTGATCTCTTATGAAATGGTGGCGGACATCAATATGCTTTGTTCTTTAATGTTGAACCGGGTTGTTGGTGAGCTTTACGGCACTTTCATTGTCACATAGCAATGGCACTTGCTTGAATTTGATTCCAAAGTCACTCAAAGTAGCCTTCATTCAAAGTAATTGAGCACAACAACTACCGGCCGAGATATACTCCGCTTCGGCGGTTGAAAGTGCTACACTATTTTGTTTCTTTGATGACCAAGACATAAGTGATCTTCCCAATAGTTGACATGTGTCCGATGTACTCTTTCTCTCAACTTTACATCCCACATAATCGGAGTCCGAATATCTAATCAACTCAAATCTTGCTCCTTTGGGATACCACAATCCAACATTTTTGTGTATGCTTCAAGTATCTCAATATTCTCTTTGTTGCCTTCAAATGACTTTCTCTTGGTGAGGCTTAAAATCTAGCACACATACATACACTAAACATCACATCCGACCTTGATGCGGTCACATAGAGTAGGCTTCCAATTATAGACCGATACATCTTTTGATCCACCATGTTGCCACTAGCATCACTATCCAAGCTTCCACTTGTCCCTATTGGTGTACTAATAGCTTTAGCATCATCCATTCCAAACTTCTTGAGTATGTCCTTGATATACTCGCCTTGACTCACAAATGTGCCATTCTTCATTTACTTGATTTGAAGACCAAGGAAGTAGCTAAGCTCTCCAATCATGGACATTTCAAACTCACTAGCCATCATCTTCCCAAACTCCTCATAAAAATCTTGATTTGTTGACCCCAAAAATGATATCATCAACATCGATTTGCATTACAAACAAGTCATTTCCAAACTTCTTGGTGAAGAGAGTGGTGTCAACCTTTCCCATCTTGAATCCCTTAGAGAGTAGGAAATCCATCAATCTCTCATACTATGCTCTAGGTGCTTGTTTTAATCCATACAAAGCCTTTCTCAACTTGTAGACAAGGTTGGGTTTCTTCTTATCTTTAAAATCGGGAGGTTGCTCAACATACACAAGCTCATTAATGTACCCATTGAGAAATGCACTCTTCACATCCATTTAGTACAACTTGATATTGTGGGCACAAGCATAGGCTAACAAGATCCTAATTGCTTCAAATCTTACAACCGGGGCATATGTTTCTCTAAAGTCAAGACCTTCAACTTGAGTGTAACCTTGATCCACTAATCTTGCTTCGTTCCTTATTACTATCCCATACTTGATCATTGATTGAACCAAGATACATCCTTATCTTTCTCTTCCAATAATCATAGCATTTGTCATCAAAGAACGGTGGTTTGCCCCCCACATGGTTGAACACAACTTGAGCCATAATTTGACACCGAGGTTGTTAAGCCTTCAATCAAACGGTGACCACGGCTCTGATACCACTTGAAAGGTCCTAATATGGCTAGAGGAGGTGAATAGCCTATTTAAAAATCTACAAACGGACTAGAGCAATTTGATTAATATAACAAATAGCGAAATGCAAACTTGCTCTAGCTCTACAAGGGTTGCAAGCCACCTATCCAACAATTCTAGTTGTTATGATCACTAGGCACATAATTTACTAGGTCACTACTCACTAAGAGATCTCACAATTGCTACACTAAAGAGCGCTACTAAATGAACTTAATCCATAAAGCAAGCTCTCAATTCTAGCTACACTAAATAGCTTGTTATAGCTAGTTTGCGGATCCTCCTCCGCTGCTTCAAGCCGTCTAGGTGGTGCCAACCACCAAGAGAAACAAGTGAACCCCGCAGCGAAACACAAATACCAAGTGCCTCTAGATGCAATCACTCAAGCAATGCACTTGGATTCTCTCCCAATCTCACAATGATAATGGATCAATGATAGAGATGAGTGGGAGGGCTTTTGCTAAGCTCATAAGGTTGCTATGTCAATGCAAATGGCCAAGAGAGTGAGCTTGAGCCGGCCATGAGGCTTAAATAGAAGCCTCCATGAAATAGAGCCGTTGTACCCCTTCACTGGGCACAACACGGGGTGACCGAACGCTCTAGTCATATTGACCGGACGCTGGACCTCAGCGTCCGGTCGTGCGATGCACGCCACGTGTCCCCTCTCTTCAAATACTGAGCTCCCGATCCCAACGGTCAAGTGATGACCAGACACGCTGCTGTGAAGTGATCGGACGCTGGACCTCAGCGTCCGGTCGTTTCCAGTAAGCAACCAGAAGCGAGAAATCACGACCGGACGCGTCCAGTCATGCTCAACTGGACACACCCAGCGTCCGGTCACACAACGTCATCATACGTCAGACTGACCGGACTCAGGCCCTGAGCGTCCGATCAGTTTTCTCGCCAGCGTCCGGTCATGAGACCGAAACAGCGCGCCCTCTGTTGCTACTGACCGGACGCTCCGGTCCAACCGAGACCAGCGTCCGGTCACTTATAGTGACCTTTGTCTTTTCTGTGTAGGGCACCGGTGGCACCGTCGGACTGTCCGCACTCTACGGGCGGACACTCCGCCGGTGAAGTTTCTTACCCTTGCTCAAATGTGCCAACCACCAAGTGTATCACCTTGTGCACATGTGTGTTAGCATATTTTCACAAATATTTTCAAGGATGTTAGCACTCCACTAGATCCTAAATGCATATGCAATGAGTTAGAGCATGTAGTGGCACTTTGATAACCGCATTTCGATACGAGTTTCATCACTTTTAATAGTACGGCTATCGATCCTAAATATGATCACACTCACTAAGTGTCTTGATCACTAAAACAAAATGACTCTTACTATTTATACCTTAGCGTTGAGCCTTTTGTTTTTCTCTTTCTTCTTTTTCAAGTTCAAGCATTTGATCATCACCATCATCATGATCTTCACCATTGCTTCATCACTTGGAGTAGTGCTACCTATCTCATAATCACTTTGATAAACTAGGTTATCACTTAGGGTTTCATCAATTAACCAAAACCAAACTAGAGCTTTCACACGGCCATGCCGCTCTCCTGTCAGCAGCGAGCACGAGGCGACGAGTAGGTCGCGTCGCTTTGTAGGACCATGCCGCCTGTTGGCCGATGGCGAGTCCAGAGTTCCAGGCCATGGTGTGTGTCACGGGCGGGCGACGAGGCCAAGCGCTCTCCTCCAAAATCATATTTTAGATGTTGTTTAAATCCGGAGGCTAAAGTTTAGGGGTGTCACATCGGGTGTTATATGAGGGTGTCACATGTAGTAATAATAAAACAAATACACAAGTCCTCAGTAATCCGCGAGATGAATTTATTAAGCCTAATTAATCCATCATCAGTACATGTTTGCTGTAGCACCACATTGTCAAATCATGGACTAATTAGGCTTTAAAATTTCGTCTCGCAAATTAATCGTAATCTATGCAATTAGTTATTTTTTAGTCTATATTTAATACTCTATGTATGTGTCCATACATCTAATATGACAGGGACTAAATTTTAGAGGAGAAACTAAGCAAGGCACTCACAAGAGTTAAGATCTTGCATCATTCATCATCTCTATCAACCGAAGCTCGGACCCTGTATTGTTTTCTTTTACCCAGTGCAGATGCTCTTAGTATAATAACATATATTTTCTGCTCTCTAAAATAAGTATACATCTCATTTCACAGGACATCAAATTTTTTAAAGTTTGACTAAATATATATAAAAGTATAGTAATATTTATGATGTATACCATGAATATTATTAAATTACACATAAAATATATTTTTATAATAAATTTATTTAGATATATAAATAGATTTTTTTTTTATATTTCTAGTTAAACTTAAAAGTATTGAGCAGCGACGTGACGGTAGGACCGTGAATAGAAAACTGGCTGTCCGGCGGAACAGAGATAAAGGAACGGACAGGATGGGCTGCATGCCACTGGCTTGTTCAGATCGACGCACGCACCACTCCCAAGCCCAAAAACATTCGCAATCTCCTGGCATGGCGCCGCCGCTCGCCGCCGCCCTCCGCCCTCACCTCTCCCGCCTCGGCCAAACCCTCTCGTCCCGTCTCCTTCGCCTCTTCACCTCCCACTGTCCCTCCGACCAGAGCGACTTCGAACCAGACCCCGACCACCCCATCCCCTCCGCCCCTGACAATGACGACGGTGAGCTCGCCTCCTTCCTCCACCGCCTCTCCAGCGCGGCCTCCAGCACCTCAACCCGGAAGGAGGCCATCTCCCTCCTCCTTTCCTTATCCACGGGCCCGTCGCCGGCCTCCCCCGCTCTCCTATTCCGCGCGCTCTGGGAGCTGCGCCGCGACCCGGACGCTGCCGCGCTAGCTCTTCGGTACGGAGACGAGTGCAGCGCCGTGGATGGGGCCGATGAGGCGGGTCTACCGCCGCCGGCCGACGCGTGGCACCTGGCCGTGTGGGCCGCGGGTAAGGCGCGGCGGTTCGACCTCGCGTGGGCGGTCGTGCGGCGGATGCGGAACCGCGGTGTGCTCACTCGCCGCGCCATGGTTATCCTGATGGAGAGGTGCGATCTCGTGCAGGAATTCTGTCATCCTTTTTATTACAGAAAAGAAAGTATAAACTCGAATGTTGTGAGCTAAGTACTAGTTTCCTCTTATTTATGTGTTATTATGAGTTATGACCGGTGATTCAGTTCTCTAAACATGCTTTCAGTTGAGACGTGCAGTGATTCTAAAAAATCGTGAACACATTATTTTTTTAGAAGCACCAGCAGAAATTTATGCTCTGGGGTTAATATTAATCTTCGGTGGGCACACTGTTCCAACGAAATATTTTTGTTATTTACTTAATTTACTGATGCGGTTGCATTTTTTCACTGTTGTCATAAATTGAAGTTGAATTGTTGAGCTATAGGCATTCGTTGTAAAACTTCAAAAATGTGATCGATGTGCTCCTAGAAGATAACAAAACATGCAGCTTTTATGGGTCCTGTTCTCAGGATGTTGACTCTGTGCAGATTATAGTATAATCAGTTAGGAAGGATAGTATAACTTTCTGGATCAATTATTGGGGTTTAGCTTAGCATCCTACTTTATTGAGCATTGTGTTGCTCGTCTTTAGCACTCATAATTCTGTAATTGAACTTCCAATATACTTTTGAACTTTTGCGAGTTCTTTTTTCTGTCATGGTCTTTTCATTGTATGGATATGAAATTTCAGGTATGCAGCTGCCAATGAAGTAAATAAAGCAGTCAAAACATTTGATGTCATGGAGAAGTTTAAAGTCGAATCAGATCAAAGTGTATTCTACTCCCTTCTTCGTGCTCTTTGCAAAGGCAAAAACATAGAGGATGCTGAGGAGTTGCTTCTTCTGAGAAAGAAATTCTTCCCACTTACTGCAGAAGGTTTCAACATAATTCTAGATGGTTGGTGTAATGTAATCACTGATGTGGCTGAAGCAAAGAGAGTTTGGAGAGAAATGTCAAATCACTGCATTACTCCTGATGGCATGTCGTATACTCTTATGATCAGTTGTTTCTCAAAAGTTGGAAACCTTTTTGATACTCTAAGGGTTTATGATGAGATGAAAAAGAGGGGCTGGATTCCTGGTATTGGTGTTTACAATTCACTTGTCTATGTTCTGACAAGAGAAAATTGTGTGAAGGATGCACTCAATATATTCAGCAAACTTACAGATGAAGGCCTCCAGCCGGATGTTGAAACATATAACAATATGATACTCTGTGAAAGTTGTAAGCTTGGTGAAGCGCGAATGGTGATGGAAACCATGGTACTTAAGGGCATCATTCCTACCATTTCGACTTACCATGCATTTTTGAAGCAAGAAGGCATTGACGAATCACTGAAGCTCTTGCAGAAAATGAAGGAGGATGGTTGTGGCCCTAAGAGTGATATATTTCTCATGCTTATTGATAAATTTTTCTTGCTAAACGAGTCTGGGAATGCTCTAAGAGTGTGGAATGAAATGAAAAAATATGAGATCAGCCCTGTCCGTTCACACTATATGACAGTGGTCGAAGGTTTAGTAAAACACGGATGGATACCAAGAGCTTTAGAGTACTACGACGAAATGAAGGAAAAAGGTTTTGCCTCTGATACACAACTTGATAAAGAATTTAAAACATTTTTGTTGAACAACAGAGACCACTGGAGAGGAGCAGGCAAATACAATATCATCCCCCAGCGTGGTAAACATTTTACAAAGCGGTCAAGAATGCAATAACAAATGTGGTTGCTTCTAGTGCCTTTTTGATATAAGGGACTTTTTCAACAAAGTTGAATATGGACCACAATGTGAGGTACAGTACATTAAGTTAACCTGTTTGTGAACCCTGACCAGCGGCAAAAAAAGAAAACTTGTGTGAATCTAATTGTAAAAAAACATAATAAACGTGACAGTTGCCTGTGTTTTCTGAAATGGTTACCTTTGAACTCAGTTGTTTGATACAATGGTCATGGGTCATTTGAGTCTATGTTCATTGGTAAAAATGTGTTAATCTTGATTGTCCTCCCACGACCAGTTATTTTGTATCTTGCCTACCTGCAGTTGCAGTCGGTAAATTTGTCTAACAATTGGGATCTGCGGAAGAGTTTTGAGGGAAAGCTTGGTTGTTTGGCTTACTACAAGCATTTGTATTGTTTCAAGCTGTCATTAGAATGGTGAACATTCTGATTTATTTACTTTTTTTAGAAACTTGCTCTCACTTACATGAACAACATTGCTACCAATTCTCTAAAAACAGCTGTATTAGGGTTAGTGCAAGGTCAAACACTCATAACGGGCCACCTTTCCTTTTACAAGTAATCAAAGCCGAGTAATTAACAATATTAATGGGTATGAGCATGACTGCCTGATTACTCAGGATACTCAGGCCAGTTTGCTTATAAGGAGGTATCTGGGTGGATATATGTTGCCTAAATATTTTAGTCTGTAGAGTGCCAACTCTGTTAATTTTTGAACCTGAGCCCTGAGTTGGTGGCAGCTGTATGCCCTTTGTGACAGTCTCTGTTGTTCTTGTGCTATTTTGATCCCGAGATCCCATTTCACTTATATTCATTTGAGTACTGAATTGAAGGAACAAATAGCTGTGCTATGTTCTAATTTGGTGCATTCTATCTTCTGTTCGTATCTAAACTTGTACGGGCATTCAAGGGTTTTAGCCTGTTTCAAAATAATTTGTTATGGGTGGCATTTGCAGACCTCTGGGCGAAGTGCTCAAGCATCCGTTTTGAATTTATTTTATTTAACATAGCTGGAAGAATAGAAAAAAAATTATGGCCGGGATCTTGCAGTTGTAAATTAGCCAAACTATATCATGTGCAGGAATATCCGATGACATCCTGAGCTACTACTGTACTATCACCAGAGATGCACCATAAAGCATTATGTCAGCACTAAGGCTTATTAGAACCATGCAGCCTGTTCGCTTGGTCGTATTTGGCTTATCAGCCAACGAACAATATATTTTTTTTCACATCAAATCAGTCAACAATACTTTCAGCCATGGCTTATAAGCTAAACAAGTACTTTCAACCATGGCTTATAAGCCAAACAAGCTAGGCCCTGTTCGTTTGAGCTTGTTTGGCTTATAAGTCATGGCTGAAAGTACTGTTGGCTGATTTGATGTGAGAAAAAAAATATTGTTCGTTGGCTGATAAGCCATGGCTTATAGGCCTACCTAGTCTCTATCTGAAGATTTCTGAACTAAAACGTGGATATCTGGTCATCAACCAAGCTTTATTGAAATACTGTGACAAAGTAAGTCTTCCCGAGCAATTGGTCAAATTCCAAATGTGAGTTTCCATATTCTATTTGAAAGTTTCCGAGACTGAATTGAAGCGTCGTTCTTAGAGCAACTCCAAAAGACTCTATATCCTTTCTAATCGTTAGAAATAGAGATTTTGATGAAAGAGCACCCTCCAACAGTTTTAATTGGTTATCCAAATATAGTCATCCTCTATTCTAAATTTCTCGTTAGCCAACGATGGATATTGAGAATGTTTTTATAGAGTGCGCACAAGATATATAAAAACTGTTGGAGTGAAAAGATACAGAGAATAATTTTTATATAAATGGCTCTTTAAATGATAATTTAGATAGTGGGTTTTAGAAACACTCTCGGAGATGCTGTTTATGGTAGTCGAAAAAAAAAGAAAAGGATTTGGCAAATGGACTAAAGAGGCCCGCCACGAGATAGAGGCCCATCCAGCAATAGCCTGCCGTCGAGTCCAACCCTGACCTAATCCAATCATCAGGCAGGCAATCGCGAATCTTTATATTTTAATTAATTATTAAATTTGTTTATATCGCAAAAAAAATTCCCAAGCAAAAAATGCATTGCGGCTGCTCCTTTCTATAATCCTCAGGTGCGCCTGACCGTTGGATCCCGTTCTTCTTCTTCTGAAAACCTTTGTATAATCCTCAGGTGCCTGACCGTTGGACCCCCTTTCTTCTTCTAAAAAGACGACAAAGGCAACGGTAAAGTCCAAAACAGAAGAAGGTCCCAATCCGAGGCAGCAGCACACAGCACAGTAATAATGGCGCCCCCCCCATCCCGAGGACCCGAACGTTCGACCCCAGCGGCTACTTCGACACACCTCGTCGCGCGCTGCCTACATAAACGCACCCGTCGCCACGATTCGCACAAAGACTGCGCTTTGCTGCTGACCGACTCACGAGCTCCATCACACTCGTCTGTGACATCTCGGTAGCGTCTGGTCGTCATGTCGTGCACTGCTTGTGTGCTCGATCAAGCTCGTCTTACTCCAATGGCGTCGAGGGTGCTGCTCCTTGTTAGTATTGATCTCCCACCGATTTAGGCCCAGCGGCCTAAGCGGGCCTTATCTCGGCATACGATCGGGGCGCCCAACCTACATGGTTGGTGGGCCCCGTCGCCACGCTATATAAAGGAAGGTGGGGGCGGGGCTCGCAATACGAGGTTCACCGCGCCGCCGATCACCCCACCGACATCCTAAACCCTAGACCCGATCGAAAGTAGGGCGCGCGGCACGGAAGTGCCATCGACACAAGCAACGCCACCCGACGTTCACATCGCCGCCGAGGACGCATACAGCGCCGACTCACTCTCCACCGACCGTCATTGCCGTGCAGATGGCATCCAACAAACGAAACCCGGCCGAGCTTCAACAACTACGGCATTTGACGGTTTGCTACTTATCACCTATCTCTCAATCTCTCTCTGTGAAATCCGATTGATCTATTACTGTGCTAAGAAACCGATCCGATGAACATACCTAAGAACTGTAAATCTAACAATGGCATCGGAGCCAGGTTTCGACAAGAAATCAAACCAATACGATGCGGATCGGGAAAGAAAACAGAAAAACCGAACTAAGACCTAACCCTAGAAAGAAACCCATCACTAATCGGTTCAATCCGAGAAGAAAGAAAAGGAACCCTACCATCTAGATCTCGAATCACACAAAAGGTAAACACGGATCGGGGAAATCGGGTTCAACCGAACCCTAACCCTAGATCCGCTTTTGAAGTGAACAGTGAGAGAAAAAGAAAGAAGAAAGAAATCAAATCCGAAAGGGAAGGGAAAAGAACAAGAGGCGGCACACTGAAACCCTAACCCTAATCCCATTCGGATGAACAAGCCAAAAGAACACAGTAAAAACCCCATTCCCAAACCCTAACCCTAATTCCCGTGCGTCGGAATGGGGAAGAAAGGGGACGGGGAAGAACGAGAAAAGAAAGAACACGCTGCCGTTTCGCCGGGATAAACTACCACGCGCGGAAGAAGAAGAAGAAGAAGCGCACGTTTTTTTTTTTTCGCGCGTATTTGGAGAAGAAACCGAGCCGATGCGCCCGGGCTCGGCCAAGAAAGCGCCGGGCTCGGCCAAGAAAGCGTCGCGGCTAGGCCGCTCGACGGCGGCGTGCTCACCCGTTGGGGAGCACGCGCGCCGGCGAGGGGGCCAGCGACGGCGCCAAAGCTCGCTCCGGTTTTCCTCGCTTTCATGGTGCTTTCGTGGATGGGATCTCAGCATGCTTGGTGAGAAGAGGCAAGCAGCGAGGAGAGAGAGAGGGGAAGAGCCGAAATGGCTAGGGTTTTCCAGGGCACCGGCCGCGGCCTGGTTTTTGATCCACGCGAAACGGCCGCTCGTCCGTCGGATCAGATCGAACGCTCGAGATGCGCTGGGCCAAGTCGAGGCCAAAGGGAGAAGGCAGCATGGCAGCGCTTTTGCCGCCCAGCCAAAGTTGCGGCTCGGTGCGGCTCTGTCTTGTATGAGGCAAGCCGGCCGAAGCCGTTGTAGTGGCGTCTTGGGCATGTTGGGTGAAAATGAAAAGAAGAACAAGAAAAATTTTCTTATTATTTTCCAGAAACAATTTTAAATGCATATTTTGATGAATTTGAATGATTTTGACATAATTTTCTGTGCAAATTTTATCCAACGATATTTTGCTCAGAAAACAGTGAATTTTAGTGTTTCTGGAAAATAATAATATGAAAACATTATTAATGTTTCCGCTGTGCATGATAATTATTGTTCTCTTTGATTAAATTTGAACCAACGGGATAATTTAATTTTAAGAGAAATGAATTTCTGATAATTTTAATGCGATTATGATATTGTTATTTTTTGACCAACGTTGTTAATAACAATATTATAATTTTGATCCATAAGAAATTGTGCATTAATTTTACTTCTGCCCAACGGTGATGTAAAATGTTTGCATGGATGAATAATAAGTTTTAATTTGACCAACGTTGAGTTAAAGCATGGAATTTTATGTATAAATGTTTCTTACTTACTTTGGTGTGATTTCAGGAGGCAAATGCATTGTGAATATTGCCAACATCCCGACACTCAACGGAACCAATCACCGTGTGTGGCGGGAGAAGTATGAATTGGAACTTGCGTTGGGAGAGGTCGATTTTGCCATCACCTCACCGTGTCCTACTGAGCCAGAGGACCCGGTGAGAGGTGACAATGAAACTGACGCTGATTTCGCTGCTCGAAAGCGTGATCATGCTGAAATAAGAATGAAATATGACCTTGAACATAGGCAATGGACTCTCTCCAACCGCAAGTGCCTGTTGGTAGCCAAAGCCACCATAGAAGAACAGATAAGGGGCTCAATCCCTGAATGTGCTACTGCCAAAGAATATCTTGAGAAAATCAAGAGTCAGTTTACTGGGTCTACCAAGGCCACAGCAAGTTCACTGATTAAGAAGCTTGTGAATGAGAAATTCACTGGTGGTAGCATAAGAGAGCACATTTTGAAGATGAACACTACGGCATCCAAGCTAAAAGAAATGAATTTGAAGGAGGAGGATTTCCTGATTCATTTGATTTTTGCTTCTTTGCCAAAAGAATATGACACCTTCATTGTGAACTATAATATGCAGCCTGAAAGATGGGGCATAGAAAGACTCATCTCAATGTGTGCTCAAGAAGAGGAGAGGATAAAGTCCTCACAAGGTGAATATGCTCATTTTGTGAAGGACAACAAAAGAAAGAACTTTAATGGCAAGAATTCTAAACCACAAGGGAAACCTAAGTGGGATAAGACCTCTTCCTCCAGTTCACAGGGAAAGAAACCCCAGGATTACGAGAATCAAGCAGTATGGTGGAGCGAGAAAAAGATCGGTGCAAGCTTTGCTTCAAGAAAGGACACTACAAGAGGGATTGTCGGACTTCACGAAATCTCTGCTAAAGAAAGGTGATGAATTTATTACATTTGTAGATGAATCTCTGTATTTATGTTATGATAAATCCACTTGGTGGGTTGATTCAGAGCAACTACTCATGTTGCAAATTCTTTCTGAGGGGTTAAGTGGGGACGAGAACCTTGCAAAGAGGAGAAAGAACGATTAAAGTTGCAAATGGACTGCAAGCCAATGTTGAAGCCATTGGAGATTTTTCTTTAGAATTGAATAATGGTTTTGTACTTAGACTTAAAGAAGTACTTTATGTTCCCTCTTTGCGTAGAAATTTGATAAGTGTTTCGAAACTTGATGATGATGGAATTGATTGCCATTTTGGTGATGGCAAGTGTAAGATACTAGTTAATAATAAATGTGTTGGTCTTGCCTTCCGACAAGACAAGCTTTATTTATTATCTCTTCTTTGAGAATGCGAACAATGTATGTGATGAGAATGTGAATGATTCCCCATCTGCGGATGTAACTAAGAAGCGAAAGAGAATTGATATCTTGTCTCTTGAAATTATGGCATTGTCGCTTGGGCCATATTTCGAGGGGAGAATGGAGCGATTGGTTAAGGAATCAATTCTCCGCACTTAGAATTTTCAGATTTAGAGCAATGTATTGATTGCATCAAAGGAAAGTATGTCAAGAAAATTAAGAAAGATGCCAAGCGAAGCACGGGTATTTTAGAAATAATCCACACAGATATATGTGGTCCTTTTTTCTGTGAAAAGTGTGGATGGTTATGACTCGTTTATAACATTCACAGAACGACTACTCTCGTTATGGCAATATTTATCCAATTAAAGAAAGATCGGAAGCATTGGATAAATTCAAAATATTTAAAGTGAAGTTGAAAATCAGCACAATAAGAAAATCAAGATAGTACGATCGGACCGAGGTGGAGAGTACTATGGGCTTATATACCCTATATGGCCAAATTCGGGACCATTCGCAAGGTTCCTACAGGAAAATGGCATAGTTGCTCGATACTCCACACCGGGGAGCCTCGGTGAGAATGGAGTGGTGAAAGACGTAACTGCGTACCTTAATGGATATGGTAAGAAGCATGATGAGTTACTCCACATTACCGATTAGTTTATGGATGGAGGCTTTGAAACCGCCATTCACATACTTAATCGAAAGTACCAAAGTAAATCGGTGCCTAAAACACCGTATGAATTATGGATAGAAAGAGAACCCTCACTCAACCATTTGCGTGTGTGGGGCTGTCCGGTGAGGCAAAAGTGTTTAACCCAAACATAGGAAAGTTAGACTCTAAGACAGTCAGCTGCCATTTTATTGGCTATCCAGAAAGATCGAAAGGATATCGCTTCTATTGTCCTGACAGACATACGAAGATTGTAGAAACAAGACACGCTGTGTTCTTGGAGGATAACATGATCAGGGGGAGCATGGTAGCACGAGAAATCAGCCTACAGGAGAAGCGGGTACATGTACCCACTCCGATGGTTGAAGAACCATTCTTCACGCTACCTGCTGCTGTTGCACCGACAGTGCAGGACACTGTAGTGCCAACACTTGTTGCAAGTTCTCCCGTGGCGACAATGAATGAACATGAGGAACCTGTCCTTGAGGAACCTATCCTTGAGGAACCTATAGAACCAAATGATGCACATGAGGAAGAACAACAACAGCCAAATGTGGAACAAGTGCCGGAGGCACCTAGAAGGTCTCAAAGAATAAGAAGATCAGCTATGCATCGATGACTATGAAGTTTATGAAATGGAAGAATGTCGGATGGGGATGATCCCACCTCATTTGAAGAAGCCATGAGAAGCGACCACTCATCAAAGTGGCTTAAGGCCATGGAAGATGAATTGAAATCAATGAGTACCAATAAAGTTTGGGACTTAGAAAATATTCCTAAAGGAGCCAAAAGCAAGAGGGTCGTAAATGGGTCTACAAAGCGAAATATGACTCCCAAGGGAATATAGAAAGATTTAAAGCGCGACTTGTGGCGAAAGGCTTCACGCAAAGAGAAGGATTGATTACAATGAGGCGTTTTCTCCGGTCTCATGTAAAGATTCCTTCGTAATTATAATGGCACTTGTAGCCCACTATGATTTGGAGTTGCATCAAATGGATGTAAAGACGGCTTTCCTAAATGGGGATTTAGAAGAAAATGTTTATATGGCACAACCGAAAGGTTTTGTCGTAAAAGGAAAGGAAAATATGGGATGTCGCCTGAAGAAATCAATCTACGGATTGAAGCAAGCTTCAAGACAGTGGTATTTGAAGTTTGATAGAACGATAAAAGGTTTTGGGTTTGAAGAAAATGTTGAGGACAATTGCGTTTATGCAAAGTTCAAGAATGGAAAGTACATATTCTAATTTTATATGTGGATGATATCTTGCTTGCTAGTAGTGATATCAATCTACTAATGGAAACGAAGAAATTCTTGTCCTCAAACTTTGATATGAAAGATCTTGGTGAGGCCTCGTTCGTTTTGGGAATAGAGATTCACCGAGACAGGGAGAAAAGGGTTCTAGGATTATCGCAAAGGCATACATAGAAAAGGTCCTGAAGAAATTTAGTATGCATAAATGCAGTCCTTCACTGCTCCTATAGTCAAAGGCGATAGATTTGGGAACATCAATGTCCCAAGAACCAATATGAAATTGACCGAATGAAAGCGGTACCGTATGCTTCAATTGTTGGAAGTTTACAATATGCTCAAGTGTGTACGCATACGACTTAGCTTTTGTTACCGGGTTACTTGGCGAGATATCAAAAGAATCCAGAATTGAACATTGGAAATTAGTGAAGAAAGTCCTGCGTTATTTACGAGTACGAAAGGCCTCATGCTTACGTGATAGAAGATCGATTCCTGCAGATAGAGGGGTATTGATTACGATTATCTTGGAGAAGAAAGAAAATCCACGTCGGGATATATATTTACTCTCGCAGGAGGGGCTATATCGTGGAAAAGCTCCAAACAAACCAGAATCGCATCCTCGACAATGTATGCCGAGTTTGTAGCATGCTATGAGGCAACGGGCAGGTGTGAACTGGTGAAGAAATTCATACCCGGATTGAAAGTGATTGATGATATAAATGAACCCACTGCGATTGTATTGTGATAACAATCCGGTGATGCAAAGACGCTCACAACAATAGGTCAAGTGGTCTTTGCCAAACACATTGACATAAAGTACTATGTTGTGAAAGATAAAGTTCGGGATCATATAATAAATCTTGAGCACATAAGCACAGAGAGAAAATGCTCATGGATCCGCTCACAAAGGGCTTACCACCCAACGTGTTCGGAGAACACGTGGTGGCAAGCATGGGTTTAAGGGAAAGCCTATGATTCCCGAACATCTGAAGGGCCCAAAGAAAGTTTACATTTCAAAAGCGGAGAATTGTATTGTGGTACATTAGTCTAACGGCACTAATTCTTTCGCGTGACGATGGGACGATTCTATGCACTAATCTGTGATGAAATAGGATGGAAGCAAGAAAATATGAATTGAAAGTTTTGAGTATGAAATTAAAGAGCGAAGAATAGATGAGAGATCAAGGGGAGAATGTTAGTATTGATCTCCACCGGTTAGGCCCAACGGCCTAATGGGCCTTATCTCAGCATACGATCGGGGCGCCCAACCCTACATGGTTGGTGGGCCCCGTCGCTTGCCGCTATAAAAAAGGAAGGTGGGGGCGGGGGCTGCATAATACGAGGTTCACCGCTGCCTTGATCCCCCACCGACATCCTAAACCCTAGACCCGATCGAAAGTAAGGTATTTGCCGCCATGACGGAAGTGCCATCGACACCGCAACGCCACCCGACGTTCACATCGCCGAGGGCGCCACGGCGCCGACTCACTCTCCACCGACCGTCATTGCGCGGCTGCAGATGGCATCCAACAACGAAACCCGGCGGAGCTTCAACAACAACTACGGCATTTGACGGTTTGCTACTTATCACCTATCTCTCAATCTCTCTCTGTGAAATCCGATTGATCTATTACTGTGCTAAGAAAACCGATCCGATGAACATACCTAAGAACTGTAAATCTAACACTCCTCTGCGTTTCGGTGGTCCTCGCTGCGGCGGCTGCTGCCGAGGCCAGGGACTTCGTTGTCGGCGGCGCCAACGACGCGTGGAAGGAGCCGGCGCAGCCCGACGCCCTCGCCAAGTGGGCCTCCGCCAACCGCTTCCAAGTCGGCGACAAACTCGGTAGGAGATCCCTCGACGCCCTCGCTACATCTTCGTCGTTGTTTCCAGTTCAGCGATCTGGTCGAAGGATCGAAGACATTTTGCTGCACAAGCGAAAGATTCTTCATTTCTACCCTGTTGCTTCAACTCATCTGCTTCCCATGCGTGCAGTGTTCAAGTTCGACGGTGCGGCGGACTCGGTGCTGGAGGTGACCCGGGACGACTACAACCGCTGCAGCACGGCGTCCCCGCTCGCCGTCCACAAGGCCACCGCCGGCGCCGCCACCGTGCCGCTGCCCCGCTCCGGCCCGTACTACTTCATCGGCGGCGCCCCAGGGAGGTGCCAGAAGGGCGAGCGCCTCCTCCTCGTCGTCATATCCGAGAAGCACGGCCGCGGCCGCCTGCGGGGCCTCGCTCCGGCGCCGGTCCCGGCTGCTGAGTCGCCGTTTGCCTCCAGTTTCGTCGGGGGCCCTGCCGCGGCGCCGGCGCCGGCCACCGGGGCCGCGGGGAGGACGGCGGCTGCCGGGAACACCGGCGCTCTGCTTGTCGGCGCCGTCGCGCTTCTTGGGGCTCTGTTGTTCGGGTGCTAGTCAAATGTAGCAGCGTTTTTCGGAGATTCTTTGATTCGTCCTGCTTGCTGTTAAGCTCAAAGAGAGAGAGAGAGAGAGAGAGAGAAGCAATCTGCTGCTGCTTCTGTCTGTAGAAGACGATGATAGTTTCTGTCAGAGATGATAAATCATAAAAGGATAATTCATCGATCATGATGTGGTTTTTACATCAACATTCCATTCTCGTGTCTTGTGTCAATATAAACGCCTTCGAAATCTCGTCTTCCTCTCCCGCCGATCCAGCGATCCTGCAATGTTTGCTAATACGTTCCAGACAAACAACGGCGAATAAATAGACTGTAGATGTTATCGAAATCCTAGCAATACGAAATTAGTAATTTCCTCGCCAACCGACAACCGACAACCGCCAAGCCGAGGCTCAACACCAAGCTCAACGTTCTTTACAAGACCGCCTGTTGTTCAGTTGTTCTTTTATCAGATCAGACCAAGCTTGTGCTGTGCATCTAGCCATCTTTTTTTTTTTTTTGACAAAACATCTATGCTGTTTTAACGTGCCTGAAACTGTGAAACAGGATCAGCAACCACAGTCCGCAGGTTGTGTGGCACCAGCAGCACCCCTAACAAAAAATTGTGCAATCTTCAACTCTGTTTCTGCTTTAACAATATACGACCCATGCCAAACGGCCTACTATATGTTGTTAGAAAAATGCTAGATGTTGAAGAAAAATGCTAATGTTGTTAGAAATTTGCTGGGGGCAGCTAACAATGTGATATTCAATTAACTTACCTAGATTTAATACCGATTTTATATTTTAGTACCCTGCAATAGGCTCTCAGCTGATGATCCTTCGGTAAATTACTACTTTCTTCCAGGCTCATCCAACTTAGGGCCTGTTTGGTTACTTCCCCTCCTCCTAAAATTCCTGTCACATCGAATGTTTGGACACATACATGAAATATTAAATATAGATTAATTACGAAACTAATTGCACAACTTGCGACTAATTTGTGAGACGAATCTTTTAAGCCTAATTAGTCCATGATTTGACAATGTGGTGCTACAGTAACCTTGTGCTAATGATGGATTAATTAGGCTTAAAAAATTCATCTCGGAAATTAGCCTCCATCTATGTAATTGGTTTTGTAATTAATTTATATTTAATGCTCCTTATTAGGCTCTAAACATTTGATGTGACATAAATTTTAGAAGCGACTAAAGAACCAAACGCCGCCTTATGCTCACCTTGATTTCACTCCATAGTTTCAGTGCACTGTTTTCTTTCTGCTTTTGTACCTCCATTATTTTTTATTTCTTTTGTTTTGTCTGCTACTTTGGCTCCCTGTATACTTTCATCTTTATTCCTTGTTAATACAGTGATGATGCGTAGTTTTCCAACCTGTTCGAGAAAAGGAGGTATCTTTGTGCTGTGTAAAGACCATACTAGCATGATGTTTGGTTCAGTGGTTTATTGGCGTGATCGGATAACACAGTGAATCAATCTCGTTAGTTTTTGTTTGTTGATATGTGATGTAATCTCGTGCCGGGCAACGGATTCGAACCTTTTCAAAAATCTGCGTCCTGTTCGTTTGGGTTTGTTTGGTTTATAAGCCATGACTGAAAGTACTGTTCGTCCTGTTCGCTTGGTCGTAAATGATCGTAAATTTTCAGCCAGAACAATATTTTTCTCTCACATCAAACCAGCCAGCAGTAATAATCCATGATCATTTACGACCGTTTCAGCCCCAGCCGAACAGGCTGATTGGCTGATTTGGTGTGAGAGAAAAATATAATTCATTGGCTAATAAATCATGACTTATAAACCAAATACGACCAACAAACAGGCTGCTGATTGCTCTCGATCACGGTGGCACGTAGCTGCTTAACCAAACAGAACAAGTAACGGATCCCTTCCTGTTACTGCGCATAACTTTCTTCGCCTTACCCTTGCTCTTCTTGAAACCAAACAACACCTAGATTGTGACAGGTGCTAAGCATCTACAGCAAGTAGAAAAATGAACAGCTGATTTTTGTAGTTGATGAAGCTGACCATGGTTTGCGAAGTGATGTTGATGTATAATTAAGTAAACATTTATTTAGCAATTTAAGAACACATGTTGTTTCTGTAATTGGCCCACTAGATACAATGGGTCTGTTCGCTGGTCGGTGCTGGTGCTGGTGCTGGTTTGGACTGAATGGTGCTGGTTTTTTTGAGAGAAAAACACTGTTGGCTGGTTGGTTTGGGCTGACTAAAACCAACGAGCGAACAGGTTGAATACCCGGTGAATCCCAAAAACTAAAAGTAAGTAGCATGCACCAGCTTCTTAGCTTTGATTTATTTATAAAATGACATAATTTGTAAATATGAATCCTTCAGTAATGGATAAACTTCTACTCTCAGTTTTGGAGTTCATGTTCATACGTGGACTATGGCATTTTCTCCACTTCCATGTCCCTCAAAAACTTTGCGAATGCCGCTTCAGAAGACCCGCCTTCGTGGATGGCCTCACTGGCCTTCTCCTTGACGACGGCGAGCCTCACCCTCAGCATCTTCCCTTGGTCGGTGTCCATCACAAGCCTCACCTTGGCTTCCACCTCCTCTGCCTTGACGAACTCCTCGTATCCCTCCATCTCGACCGCGATCTTCATCTCCTCCACCATGAACACCTTATTCATGCGCTGCTCGGCGTACAGCGGCCAGCAGATCATCGGCAATCCGGACATGATAGCCTCTAGCGTGGAGTTCCACCCGCAGTGCGTCACGAACGCGGCGACCGCCTCGTGCTGCACCACCTCTGACTGTGGCGCCCAGTTCTTCACCACCATGCCCCTGTTCCTCGTCCTCTCCAAGAACCCCGCTGGAAGCAGCCGCTCCAAGTCCGGCTCGGGGAACTGGCTCTGTTCCTCCGGTGGTCTCCTCACTGCCCATAGGAACCGGTGGCCAGAGCTCTCTAGACCGTGGGCTATCTCCTGCAGCTGTGCCGCCGCGAAGGCGCCCTTGCTACCGAAGCAGAGGAACACGACGCTCTGCCTGGGCTGCGCGTCCAGCCACGCCAGGCACTCATGCCTCTCGCCGCCCCTCTCTGCAGTCTTGTGGCCGTCGTTGACCAGTGGCCCGATGCAGTAGACTCTCGGCGTTGGCCGGCCGGGCACGCAGACGCCGTCGTCAAGCGCTCTCAGGGCCCAGGGCTGCAGCCAATCGAAGCTGTTGACCAGCACGCCCCTCCCCTCCGCCATGCGCTTGAACTGGTAGAGCCGGACCTTGGTCGCGTCGCTCTCCTTGTCGTGGATCATCGGCAACATGTCCACGGCACGGATGGGCGGCATGCCCGAGAAGCAGCGCACGAGCCTAGTCTTGCCCATCTCCCTGAACGACGGCACGGTGGGGTAGTAGTAGGGAAGGTTGAGGAACACGGCGAGGTTGCTGGCCGCGGAGGGGAAGAAGAAGTAGGCGGGGACGGCGAGCTCTGCCGCGACGTCGAGCGCGTCGACGCAGAACATGTCGAGCAGCAGCGCGTCGGCGGCAGGCGTCGAGCGGAGTAGGTCCCGGAGTGCTGGGTTGGCGAGCCGGAGCGTGTCGAGGTTGCGCTTCACCGGGTGCGCCCCGTGGTCGGTGCTGGCCGGGACCGGCAGTAAGCGGAACGCGATGGCCGGGTTGGCGGCCGCGAGACGGGCGACCGCGGCGGCAGACACGGCGTCGGTATCTGGAGCGTCGACGACGGCGATGATAACGCCGAGGCCGTGGCGCAGGAGGGTCTTGGCAAGCTCCACCATGGGGTTGAGGTGGCCCACGCCCAGCGATGGGTACAGCACGAGCGTCTTCTTCCCCATGGCTCGTGATCGCTCCTGGTGTTCGAGCCTTCGGAGCTGCAGACGAGTCAATACTTATTAGAGGCGGCGGCTAGCTTTTGGGTCCATGATAGTAGTTGTTGGCTAGCACTTTGCGTCGACGAAAAGAAGGAAAAAGAAATCGAGCCTTGGGAGAGAAGTTCACCCTGGAATTGAGTACCTCATGCTAGTCAATCTTTCGGCGCTTATTCTACACTCCGATTGTTTTTTTTATATAGACCACTCCGATTGGTTCTTAACCCTTTTTCATGGTGGCATGGTTGCAGTGGCGAAGATACGCTTTGTGTTTTCCTCTTTACTCGTCCTCGTCTCCTCGATGGACTGAGTCATGGCTGACGTTATTCACAGGTCGTCATTTCTGTCGCTGATTGGTCAGAGACCAACGCTATGAGCGTGATTGGTTGCTGAGGGGTAGGCGAGTCGGGCTAATGGGAGGCAGGATGGAGTGTGCACTTCTGTTTGTTTGGTTGCAAGATACAGGATGAGAGCCGGTTTGTTTGGTTTGCTCAATCTATGAGTTTGATGCATTAGCTCAAGTTTGGTTTGTTGGTGTGGGTGGAGTTGCTCCTACCTCCTGCACGAATTGGTGAGGTTACCTCGTGAGTGGGAGACAGTAGAGAAGAGAGGGAAGCGGACCGGAAGAGGTGACAACGATGGTAATGCCCACACGCACGGTAGCCTTATCCTCGCGCCTCATTTGGGAGGATGGCGTCGTCTCCCGCGTGGGCCACGCGCCGTACCATGCCATCCCGGCTCGCATGCGAAGGCTGAATTCTACGTATGCTGCGAGCCTGGACCAAGGGCCTCAAATGCACGATTCGATGCATCGATTTCGTTCGGCACATGGAACCAAACAAACCGTCCCTGCACGGCGTCGAGCGGGATGATGCAGCGGATCGCGAGAGGAGGCCAACCAATCACGCCCTATATGATGACCCGTTAGTGCACCTAGGATCGGATGCCATACGGAGGATAGGAACAAGAGAATGTTCCTCGGTTCCAAAAAAAGTAATTTTAGATTTTAGAAAAGTTATTATTTTTTAAGTTTTCACAAGAATGTTAACAAGGGAAGTTTGGAGGTTGAAGACAAGGGTAGTTTGGACATTTCTCCCATCCTCTCTCTCCACGAATATGAGAAATGAATAAAATATTGGTTGAGGTGTGTTACGGTAAA